CAGTTATGTACGGTTCAACAGGCTGTGCATTTGTGTATGGTCCCTATACTCTACATGCATCTTACAATGAATTGGTGTCACTGATTTTCATTAAACAGTGCTTTTAGCAACTGTCAGAAATGTAGATTCTGAGTTGGTAGATCTCACTACCTTTTCAACTCAGAATCTACATTTTAACAAGAACCCCAGGTGATATATGCAGTAAAACTGGAGAAGAACTGGCTTAGAACACTGCCTAGCACACAGTAAACACAATGTAATTGCTAACTATTATAATTATTTTATTCTTCATCTTAGCACTCATTTATCTGAATTCTATTCTATAGGGTAGCCACAAACTATAGAAACATAGATAATGTTATTTTATTTTTTCTATAGATTGAACTGTCTTGATTGCTTCTTCTGACAGTTGCTAAAAGCACTGTTACTTAATATCACTGAACATATCACTTAGTATGTATATTAGTCCATGCTCCAGACTTTATGTCCATATTATGTACTTACTTATTGGTCTAGTGACCATCTCCCTCACTTTAATATAAATGCCAGAAAGACAGTCTATATGTATCACTGTACCTTCAGGACCTAGAACAGTTTCCTCCATAAACATTTTTGAATGAATAAATGAAATTAGAGTCCATTCCTGGGTGACACTTGGATCATTCAGCTAGTCCCATCACTGGCTAATTCAGGGCAAGTTTTGTTATGTCAGTCTTATTCATGGACAACACAGGTAGGGGAGTCCTGGTGTTGTGATTACAAGTCACATCTTATCTTCCAAGGCTTTGAAGCTTCCAAGGCTTCCACATTCTTTTCCAGAACTACCAATTAGTCCCTAGCTTTTATGTGAACTGATTTAAAGTCATGCCATACTCAGACATTTGATAATCTTTTCAATTTGGCTTGTTTATATTCATGAATCAAGCTAATTTAAAATGCTGTACCAATCAGAGGGAGAGAATATTTCCACATGGATGTTAGGTAAAGAGCTATATCCATTCTGATTTCAATTAAGTAGTGAATGAGAATTGTCCTAAAAGTTCTGAGTCACTTTAGGGAACCAATTGTTATGCAAAGGTCAAAATGTGTTCTTTATCATACTAAAGCAGAAATGATAAGCCAGAATTTAGGGAGATTTTAGAGGTGGCTAATTTTCAAATTAGACACTAATGGAATCTAGCTTTGAGACAAGGAAAGATGACTATTTGGAGCTCCCAAATATTAATGAAAGTATTGATGTAACATTTATTTGTTTTTGCTTTATGGTACTTTATTCACTGGAAAAAAATTCGGTTCTATCTTTGCACCAGACACTGTTCTTGGCCCTGAGGATACAGTGGGCAGGAAAGACATGTACCTTGTGGCCTGTCTGGAGGAGGGAGTAAATGAATGAATAAATTAATATGATAATATTTTTAAAGTAATTCTGAGTGCCACAAAAGTAAAGAGAGGATAGAGAATGATGTAGGATAAAAAATACCTAAGGTAGGAAGCTTCAAGTGTTCAAGGAACAACAAGGGGGCCCATGGATAAAGGGAATTCTCCCAAAGTATGCCATAAGCCTAACTATTAAGTGATTCCACTTGAAGACCAAAGTTAATTATATTTCTACTTTTAGCTTCTAATCAGATCTTAATTCATTCCAGAGCTCTCTAAGTTTAAAACCTTTTTGGGCGGGGTGGAAGGATTAAGAACCCAAAGAAGCTTATTTTCCTGCCTGTCTAGCAACTAACTACTTTCTTTGAATCCTTCCTTTTGCATCCTTCTAATGGTCGATTTGGGGACTGACTCTTCAGTATATGTTTCCTTGCATAACTGAATGGCTCACATTCTTGGGGTCCACCAGGCACACAGTCCCCTCTGCCTTCTCTGCCCAGTCCCCTCTGGGCTTCTCTGGAAGTGCACTCGAAGCCCATGCCCCTCCAGAAGGCTGCATTCAAAGGCTTCTATGATCTAGCTCCAAATGCTATTTCCAGAGCCATCTTCTGCTACACACTTCCGGAGCTGGGCAAAGAATTTTATGGCTCTCTTTGACATTTTGTAAGATCACCTTGCCCTTCTGGAACTCTGCGTTTGGGCTCATGTGACTCCATCATCTCTCTCAGTCTCTGCTATGATGCCATCATTTTTGTGACTCTTTTGCGGATGCTCCTAGCCCATATTAATCACAGTATTATGTACTGTGAAAGGTTAAACTGCCTCAATTGTAAGGTCTATGAGGCCAGGAATCATTCCTAGTCAATCTCAAACACCCTGGTTACCAACAGCCCCTTGCTATGATTGGTATCTGACAGGCATTTAATATTACCACTGCCTACTTTCCTAACCTTATACCACACTATTTCCTAACACAAAACTAATTCTCCAGTTTATATAAACCACTCACAAATTTTCCAAAATGTAACTTTAATCCATGACTTCAATATTTCAATTGTTAATGATAGTTTCCAGGATAGGACCCAAATTCTTCACTTGATCTCAGAATGCACTTGGTCTTTCATTACTCAAGTTCTGGAGCTCGCCTGTCTTCCTTGGCTCTCTATCTGCTATTCGTTCCCATGCAGTCTTCATTCCAGTCCTATCAAACCACTGAATTTTCCCCCAGATTTCTTATGTTTTCTTTTTTCCCCTCCATGTCTTGGCATATAGTTTTCCCTATTTCTGGGATATTCTTCCTTTTCTACTTTGACTAACTAGTGCCTTTTGTTCAAGACTCAGCACATTTATCATGTCCTCTGTGAAGCCCTCCTTAACCCATGGGTGATTTCGATGCCCTTCCTTTGCTTAGCTCCATGATAATTACTGCAGTGCATATAGAGTGACTTACTTATGTGCACCTCTCACTAAATACAAGTCACCTGAAGTCATCAGAGATGGTGTTTTATTCTTTATATCACTGGTTCTCAAACTTAAGGCTATATCCGAATCACTGGAGGGATTTTTAAAACACAAGTTGCTGGGCTCCACTCCCAGTTTCTGAGTTGATAGGTTTGGGATGGGGCTCAAGAATTTGCATTTTTAAGTTTCTAGTTGATATTCATGTTGCTGTTCTAAGGACCACACCATAAGGACCAGTCTTGGATATAATCAATTTTTGTGTTTGGCACATTTCTTGAACTTAGTAGGGGCTTAATAAGTGTTTTTAATAAAAAAAAAAAATGCTTATCTCCTTAAAATCAACAAATAACATTTGAGCTGGGTCTTAATTATAGCACCTTCTTTGTGAACACAGGCACAATGCAGTTATCTATTTAAAATACACTGTATCCATTTGATTGAATAATCTGTATCAGTTATTCTCAAACCAGTAGGCACATCGGATTAACCTAGGGAGAGTTTTAGAATATGAACCCTAGGCTACAGCCCAAACTAACCAACTGACACTCTGGGTAGGAGCTCAGGGAACCCATCTTTGAACAAACTGTTCAGGTGATTCTCAGTTAGCTGGTCTAGCAGGAACCTTGGTAAGCAACCTAATCAGCCCTGGCAATCTTAAGTAAGCTGTGCCTTACTGGTGTTAATTTAGTCAGTTTATCTATTTACTCCAGTAAGTTTTTAACAAGTCTTTGGTTAAGCATGACACATAAAATGAAAATACAGAAAGGACCACTTAGAAATGCAATACTGACTTCGTAAGCTCTAGGCATCTCCAGGGGCGCCCAAGAATGATGGCTCCTGGTTTTAAATATCACTAAAAGGAAGGAGTAGCTGCAAGGACCATTTACTGCGCCACTATAACTCTTCTTGAAATACTTCCCAAATGCTTATTATGCTTTCCACACAGGTAATTTTAATTTCTTAAACTGTTGCCATAAAATGGAGAGGTGCGCATCTGGGTAAGTCACACCACTGGTGTGTCACCGAGCAGGATGAATCATGCTGGCACTGGGGAGAAGGTATCCCAGCATCCTGCCTCTCAAGATGGTAGTTTTCTTTAATACTTCCAGCATGTCAGTAGACTCCAAATTGGTTAAGATTAGATACTGCAGTTAAGAAAAAAAATGAACCTCCTCAATCTTCCTTCAGAATGACAAAGATAAATCCCAGGAGAGGGACTCGAAAAAAACACTTAAAAAATTCACTCATTGGGGCTCCTGGGTGGTTCAGTCGGTTGAGCATCTGCCTTCAGCTCAGGGTCCTGGGATGGGGTCCTACATCGGGCTCCCGGCTCAGCATCATATGTGCTGAATTTACTCTTGGGAAAAGTGCTCAATTTGCCATGTCAAGTATTAAGGAAAGAAAGGAAGGAAGGGAGGAAGGAAGGAAGAGAAAGGAAGGGATGGAGGGAGGGAGGAAGAGAAGGAAGAATCTATTTTAGTTCTAGCCTCATCAGCTGTCTAAAAAAGGCAGAAGCTGCCCATCATTTCTTGAGGAGAGAATTATCTCTTGTCTGTGAGGAAAAAATTACTCAGACGTGATCTGTTCATGTTAGTCCCTTTTAAAATTTCATTTGCATAGAACACATTGCAAAGAAAAAGAAAACCAAAATCTTCCCAAGCACTGGACTCTCAATGTGCCAGATTCCATTAGGAAATACTTGGTACTTGTGTGACCTATGGCAGCTAGATGTCTAAACAATGGTGTATGGGTTACAAAATCATATGATGTCAGTACTCGGAGATACCCTGGATGTGCTCTAGTATAATGCATTCATTGCGTAGTTTGAAGACTGAGGCTTAGAGACTTGAGTTGCCTTGCCCAAGATGTATTTCTAGAAAGTGCCACAGTTGCCATTAAGATCAAGGTCCCATTTGTATCAACCATCCTCAGAATCTTCAATATTTTGTTATTTAAATTTTATTTGATTCTATAGCAATGGTCATTGGCTTTTTTTTTTTTTTTTTTTAAAGGATCATTTCCTGTTCTGCTTTTTAGAAGTCTCCTTTCAGAGTTGTTCTTGATTTGGGTAAATGTGCAGCAACTTGACTTATCCAGCCATGTTCAACCCCCAACCCTCTGCCCTATCCCTACAGATTCAGACGAGAATCCCTAAGACTCACCTCCAAAGCAGTCATGTTTTTCTGGTTTGCTGCAGATAAGCGATTAGCCTCTCTGATTTTCTCCATGGCTTCTCTCAACAGGTCCCAAGCATCATCAACTTTGTCTTTGTAGTCTGCCAATATTGCCTGGAGACCCTTCTCCAGTTCCTCGTTTTTCCCTCGGGACTCTCCAAATAACTTCTTCACCTTCTTCAGAAGGCCTTCTGCAGCTCTGCAAGCACCCCAGCCCAATTACAGACAATAAGCCCTTGTCACTGCCTCACAGTTTATTGGTATTAAACTGTGTTACAAAGAGATGCTAGCATTCAAAGAATGGAAAAATAAGACAGTATTTAAAGCAGATTGACTATGTACTAAATCAAGATGAAAACAGAAAAGTGGCAAGGCCATTTATAATTAATATACTAAAGTATAAAAAACCCCACACATTTAAAATGTATTAGTAATATAGCATCTTCAATTGGAGTCATGTTATTCTCATAATCTGACTGATGAAATAAATTTTATGATTCACTTCACATACCAAAAAAAAACAACCCCTAATTCACCACGGTGATACATTTTCTCTGTTACTTTGAAATATATGGTATGAACATTGATATATTCGGTTTTAGTATACATACTAAATGAACAGTATATATATATATATATATATATATAATTTAAGTATTAATAACACCATCACTTTGAAGTTAGCTGACTATAAATGTAAACATGTATTTTTTTTATTGAATGTATGGTCACAGAGTTCATTTGCATTAGTAAAATCACGATTGCTATTCCCAACCTCAAATTTTCAGCCCTAATTGCAAAGTCTTAGGTATTTATTATTTGATGACTCCTCTTTTCAGCATTTCCTAAAATGACCAAATGCACAGAATGGACTGCTAAATTCGTAACTTTATTTATTCAGAGATATTTTCATTAACAGCAACAAAAAACTATTGATGGTTTAGAAGTCCCTCATACAGGCAATTAATAAAGCAAGTCCATTAGCCTAATTATGGGAGGGACAGCTCCAGAAAAGATCATTTATTTAATTATTTAAATATAGGCAAAAACATGCTTTTAATCCATTTTCAAGCAAGAGAAATCATAACTAAATGAAAAATAAATAACAGAGCATCTTCTACTCCTAAGCATGATGAACATTTTAGAAAACTGAAAGCAATCATTTGGAAAGCTCAGTGTATCAAATGAAAAAATAATAAAGCATCTACTCACACTAACTCATCTTCAGCAACCTCCTTTTGTTTATCTAGATTTTTCCTCCTCAGTTCTGCCATCATCTGATCAATCTCTTTCTGAAGCCCTTGCAAATTTCTCTCAAAGGCCTTGTCTTGAGTTCCTAGAGTTTCATTTAGTCTTACAGCTTTTTCATTTACAGCTGCAGGGGGTAAGACAAATTTTGTAAATTAGTAAACAAAAGTGCCACATGCAAAAATGGCACCAAGCATCTGCTCTTCCCCATGATCTCCAAATGAAATGTAGTTTGCCATGGGTGTTCCTGCTGGGAACAGAGAGGTAGTTAATAACGATCCATAACAAACAGGGAAAGGTGACATATTTCTCCAATTATATTTCTTTTGGGGGGTACAGTAATTAAAGCATGGTGTTTCTATCTCACAAGGGAAAAAAATGTAAATAAAGAAATGGCCCAAATCTTCTTCAGGTCAGAGGTAAACAATGAGACACGAAGCATAGCCCTCGGAAGATGAAAATATAATACACAATCCTATTCAGTCAAATTTGAAAATACCCGGTACAGAAAAACTCTCAGTGATGAGATCTCTAAAACAAACCTGCCCTTGTTCTTCCACACAGTTCTATGTTCGTTTGTTTAAAGGAATGAGGGAGGAAGCACTGGTCTTGGGATGAGGGTTATAGATTAGGGCTCAAAGCTACCTTCTAGCAATAACATCCATTGTAAGAGTCTGTGTTTATTATGCATTGAATAAAGTTTCAAACTGTGCTCTTTGGAATCTTAGGATTCTCTGGGGTGCTTCAGGTATTCTACAAACGACGTCTATTCTGTTAAGTATCTATTTGATAGGTTAGTGTTCTGGGCAAGATTTCATTTGAAAAAATAATTCTATGTCAAATAAAAGTTTGAAAAACTGGTGAGTTGAAACATTTATGTAGTTCTACCATTAGTTTTAGGCCAACTTCTCCTGAAGTGTGTTTTATGGCACATTAACTCAACAAGTTGAAGGGAGATGTTTTCTCAAACTCTTGTGTGCCAAACCCTTATTTCTGTAATATCACCTGTGAACATCCCTCGAATGAAGCTTGGGGTGGCTAAGAGACATTTTCTACTATTCAGTGCTATATCCTAAGATGTCTTTAGGCAAGGAATCCTGAAAATTCACTTCTATTCTTGGAGAAACTTTTCTGATTAATACTGGTTGGAACTGTCCCAAGGGTGAGAGTTATTCCAAGTTCTTGTAACAGGTGCACACAGGCCAAACAGCTGCCATGAAGGGTGTGACATGGTGGGTTAGTACCTTGGTTCTGAAATGATTCTTAGGGCCTACCCCAGACCTATTGACCTAAAAATTCTGGAGGTAGGGGACCAGCAATCCATGGTTTAACAAGCCCTCTAGGGGCTTCTGCTGTATGCTAGAGTTTGAAAATCACGGTTTAGCAGAAGGAATTGGGTTTCAATCTTTAATTTTACCCTTTCCAAAATGCATCTTTTGAATTCTCTTTTCATGATTAAGGTAATCGGTTAGAAAGTTGCTGCTGTCAACCCCTTATTCTGACAGCCATAATCTAATCTGCAGAACTATTTGAATCAGCTGTTTTAAAGAAAAAACATGGCCATTCCTAGCCCTGTGGTAGAAATTATTGCTCAGGTGCCATATTCCTAGAAGTTAGTGAGGGTGGCTCTTTCTTGGTCAACTACTCATAGTCATACTTTGACATACACCAAAGAACCTTCTCAAGATCCCACCACTACTGTTGCTAAGTTATCACCTAGGCTGCACTGTGTTTGTTAAGGAACCACAGTGACCCTGGACTGATTAATTGGAAAGCTCCTTGATCCAGCAGACTTTGTGAGAACTATGGCAGAATGCCAATGGTTAAAATATAAGGTTTATACTTAGATTTCAGGAAAGGCGGTAGATTTGGCCTTCCCTGTGGTACCTCTCCTTCTTTGGTCTGAGTGCCTATCTGTCTGTATGTTGACTTTAACTAATTGTATTATGTAACTAACCACTGACCTTATTTGCATTCATAAATCCCACTTTTCAACTCGCCAAAGGTGTATGTTTTTCTTTTATTAAGTGAATATATAAATGAGCTTTGATTAGAGATATTTTTTGAAATTTGATTGAATTTAGGTCCTGGGCATAGGTGGTTGTGAGGGGGTAATGTGAGAGATATAACCTCACTTGTGGTCTATTCTCAAGACTAAACTTCTGCAGAGAAGAACTTGCTGGAAAAAGCATGATACAAGAGAGAGGAAAGGAAAAGATGGCTGTACCTTTTGGAACGAATGCATCATTTCTTTTAAATGAAAGTAATATGTAAGCAACTAGAAGAAATTATTAAGGCACACAAAAACGACAATAGAGATACTGTAGAGATACTGTATTAAAAAAGAAAGCATCATTTTAATAGAAGAGATGTGATTGCTCCATTCCTTCTATATATGGAATTGGGAAATTCTCTGAATATTTTTAAACTAAAGACGAATGTGTTATTTAGTCTCTTAGATTCAAAGGTATACACTATCAGCACTTTCAGTTCAGTACATTTTCAACAGAATTGAAAATAATTATGACATTAAGATAGCTCTGAAATTTACTTATTTATTTCTACTTTATTTCAAAGGAAATTTTAAGTAGCTTTGAAATATCTTTAAAACAAGATAAAATTAACAGAAAAGGAGATGGAGTAAAGATAAAAAATAATGTAAATCAGAAGACATCTTAATAGACAGTATCTCAGTAGCCAGGGCAGAGCAGGGAATAAAAAAGGGATACTTAAGAAGTATACAGGATCTGTAACATATAAATACATTAATCCCTCAGGAGAAACAAAGTTGTTTTTCACACTGAACCAAAAAAAAATATGTTCTGATGGGTAAATTCTTCATGAATGACAAATACTACTGTGACCTGAGAAACAGGAAAGAAGGTGTCTAGCATTTATCAAGTCCTAATATATGTCAGTACATATGCTAATTAATGAGTTGTTTATATATATATGTATATATATATATACACATACATGTATACATATATATATATTTGCTCATTAATTCTAATAGTTCATGGAATGAAATATAGAGTATTTGTGATCTAATCAGGAGTCATAGCAAAGATTTTAAAAATTATAGGGAGATAAGAATGCCTTAGATTAATAGACCGTGATTATCTAAGAAGAGACCATGACTTATAATGGAAGATAGGGGGAGTAAGGTATTCCAACTAAAAATAAAACTGAACTAGACAAATGCCAGGCTAACAAATTCACTTTTCCCCACAGCAATTTATTGTCACTAATAAAACCTCAAAGTACTGATACTATCCCCAATTAGTGTAGTTCTAAGAGAAAAAGATGGGTGTGGATATGTCGTATAACCTACTTAAGGCTTGGGTGAGTTTCCTTTTCTTAAAAAAAAAAAAAAATCTCCTGAACTGCCAAGACTTGTAGTACATATAAACATCCCAGTCAAGATTTCGTTTACCTCTGGCATATTCAAATTTAAACATTCAGGAAGTTTTAACAGTTGGATTAGTTTTGCCAAAGTTCTCTTCTAAAGGGCTGTGCATATCATGTGTGTTATCATTTACATTAGTAGCTGCTGGAAGAAGGGAGCAGTGTCCACATTTCTCCCGGGTACAGGATCACAGCTATCCCACATGGACCTTCATGTAAATTAGGAAAAAGATGTCCTGTCTGGACAGACAAAACCAGACTGTCTGATGGATGCACAATTTAGAGAATGGGAGACATCTTTGATGATACATAACCCTTTTCTCTGATGGATGATGGACTGTGGGCGATGAGCAAAACCTGGACAAAATCTCCTCTCCACCTGCCCCCTGCTGGTGCCTTTGTGTGGTGCACAGACTGGGTGGTGGGTACAATGCAGAGAGAGCGAGCACATGAGCAGTGCTGATGTTGGAGTCTGTTGAAAACATGGACCAGCATTTGTTCTTACGCATGAATATTTGATTGGAATGATTTCAGAATAAGTTTCCAGGATCGGCTGAAGTATTGAGTGTTTGAGATCGAGGTAGAAGGAAAAGGAAAATTACTGGGTTATTGACCAGTGCCTTCATGGATCCAGGCAGAAATTGTTTTACCTGCAATGGGATTTTTTTTTTTTTTTTTTTGTGGGGTGGAGGGAGTGCTGGGGGGAGAACACTTCAAGTCGCATTAATGGAAAATAAAACCAGGAAAAGCACAAAAAAACTCCATCTAGCAGAAGATAAACCATAATGAGTTAGTTAAGAATTTTCCCGTAGGTGTAACTTCTGTTTCAGGTCCTGACATGTTTTGCCTCAGATTAAAACTCTGTTGCTTCTTGCAGTGGGGAATCTTTGGGAGTTTTCTGTCTCTTTTTGGCCAGTGATTCCTAAGAATTACCTGTCAGGATCTGCCTTGAAGTTTATCTCATGTTCTGACTTATTTGGCTGTATTTCCAAGCAAAATATCTAAAACACGTAACACTGTAAAGCAATAAAAATATTTCATTTTTTAAGAGAAAAAACCCAAAACATTTTTCCTACTTTCTAAACCTGCATGTATATTTAAGATCTAGATTTTTGGGTTTTTTATGTTTTCTTTAAGAGTTCTTAATCTGGGGTTTAGCCCCCAAATAGCTTCCACTTTGATCCTAAGTCAGATTGGTAGATGCCAAGCACTAATTCCTAGAGAATGATGGACTAAATACAGTGAAGCTTCTGGTAAGGTAGCAAGTCCAGACTCCAAGCAACGGATGTTCATTAAAAACAGCACCAAGTATTTTAAAAGCCATTTTGAGAAATTAAAGTGCTGCTTTAACGTACTGAGCGGAATGATAAAATTAGCTTTTAAAAAAATTAATCTTCTCAATAGTTTTGAATACAAACAATAGCAAAGCATAAGTTTATTGGTTATTTACTCATAATAGCCATTCTTCAAAAATTAAGGCATTCCTAAGGGACTGCATTCAGTTTACCACGAGCCTGCACTCATAATGACTAATTCACTGACTATTATGCCCTATTTAACACTGTAGATTGGAGATGCTTGGCAGATAATGCCCTTGGCTATCCCAACCTAAGTACTTTTCAAAAGCCAACCCTCAGATTGAGAAAGGGCATTTCTTACTAGAGAAATTCCGGTCCTGTGTAATCCCTTTTTCTATTTTTCTGGTGGGAGACATAATGATTAAATTAAATGATTCTAATACCTTCTGCATCCTGGGAAAGCTCCTTAATGAATCCTCCTAAGGAGTCTGCTCTCCTGTTGGTCCTCTCAGCATCCTGTCCAGTTTGCTCGCCATCTGCTGTCACTTTGGTAGCCTAATGATCCAAATTCAGGAAAAGCATAATTAATTGAGATGATGAAGCTACAGCGAGATAAGCTCCCACTGGCTACGTTTTCTTTCAAATATAACTCTGAGCCAAAGGCAATCGATGAATTATTGATCAGATATACTGGAAATGACACCCCATGCTCCAGTATACAATTAAACTTTATTACTTCTTCCATTAAATGGAAATCAGAGAGTCGTATTTGGGCTTTTTAAAACCCTTGCTATATGCAATGACATTAGAAGAAGCGATAAAACACAATTATTTTTGAAGTATCTTTGAGGTACAGTTGCCAAAAGTATTTAATGGATTCTTCAGCCTCCACATGTTGCAGTTTTGTCCATATTTTATTTACTGAAAAAGTGTGGAGTGTAGCAATGATCTCTTGAGGAGGCACAGGCAGTCTGTCTCAATAAGCTTGATCCTATAGATGCAGTCTAGATCAATACGTTAATTAAAGAAACAATGAGGGAGAAATGCTTAGCTACTCAGTAGTAAATGCTTGTTTTATAACACTCTGAAGATGCCAGGACCGTTAAAGAAGAATAAACGATAACTTTTCCCGTATGTCATCACCAGAAAAGACAGCTGCTAATCACAGTACTATACATCATTGTCAACAAAATAAAACAACTCCACAAATAGCTTCATGCCCCCAAAGAATATCCCCACACATTTGCACCTTCATTCACATTGAAGATACCACTTGACACAAAGGAATCCATTCAATGTGTTCATAGTTAAGATATGCTATATTTAGTCAAATAAAAATGGCATATGTAATATTCAAAGTTTCTTAAAAGATATTATAAGGTTTAGAGCACCTTGAAATAGGTGTACAGTTCATTTTTCTATGCATGAACATATGCTAATAAATAGGACTTCTTTTTTTTTTTTTTTACTAAAAAGATAGGGATAATCTAACTACAGATAATGAATCAAAGAATCACAAACTGCCTTAAAATAATTTGAAAAAGGTCCAAATTGGCAGAGTATTAATATCTATAATCCTGTACCAGAGTGTTTGCATTCTAGACATGCCCAGAGATTCTAAATTTTTTTTTTTACACACATAAGAGAATTTTAGATAGAAATTAAAATAGAACTAAATGTCTGGCGAACACAGAACACAGTAAGAGGTGCTATAGAAATTATATTGCATTTTGTGATTTCCCAGGGGGCAATAAGAGGTTTAATTCATGACCCCTTTCAAGGTTTTACATAAAAGGTAGAATATAAAGTCCAACTATCATCAACTAATTTCTCAACCTGTGAGTGTTACCATCACAAATAAAAGGATGAGGGCGCCTGGGTGGCTCAGTTGGTTAGGCGACTGCCTTCGGCTCAGGTCATGATCCTGGAGTCCCGGGATTGAGTCCCGCATTGGGCTCCCTGCTCAGCAGGGAGTCTGCTTCTCCCTCTCCTGCTCCCCCCTCTTGTGCTCTTTCTCTCTCTCACTCTCTCTCTCAAATAAATAAAATCTTAAAAACAAACAAACAAATAAAAGGATGAAAGGATAAGATCCACTGGAAGTTTTAAAAATCCCTCTTAACAGTCTGCAGTAAATATACAAAATTATTTAGAAGGTGCTAATCAATATTTTTACATATACACACCACATGCATATACATATACCTATAACATTTTAAATGTTACTTTAAAATTACTAAAGTCAGCTGCTTAAGATGTTGGCTTTCTAAGCTGTCGTAGATGTTTGTCTAGCCTGGACTTGATTGTACTCTATAATATCACTCCTATTTTCACATATCACAGACTTTACTAAGGGACTTGATCTACATTATGGTCATTTTCAATATCTTAATTATTAATGTATTACCAGCACTCTATTACCACACAGGAAGTGTACATTATGATTTCAACTTAAAATTTATTCTTTGCTTTATCAGTATCTTATCTGTTACTAAAAGATCTTAACTTACATATTCACACAACAAAGGCTACCAATTCTGGCTCATAGCCTAAAGCATTTAATTTTTTAAAATAAATATATATTGATACACTGTCTCTTTTAAATTCTGGAAGATCATGATCCCATCCACTGTCTTTAATTCTTCTTTCTTAATTAATTTATACAACATGTAAGAGTCATCATTAACAAACTTGGTACTGATTATAGGAGCACTCCAATAGTAAGATGTCAAGAATTCTACATGACTCATGATAAGAAACAAGTTAAAAGAGTTATCATGAAGGCCCTGTGCAATCAACCTCCCTGGCTTCTGTTTAGTATGTGAAATATGCCAAACTCTTTCCTTCTTAGGCTCTTCTCGGATTCTGCTGTCTTTGCCTGGAATAAACTTTTCCTCAGTCCTTTCAATGGATGGATCCTTGTCATTTGTCATCTTTCATCTTTCATCTTTCAGTTTCAGTGTCCCTTCTAGGTCTGGCCATTTCTAGGGCACCTAGCCAGGTTTCCAGACTTTCCACAGAACATTTTTTTTCATAATACCATGCATTTTAGAATTACTTATGGCTCCTCTATTTGTTGGTTACCTCCCTGACTAAAAGGTAAGCTCTAAGAGAGCAGGGACTTGGTCTGTTTTGTTCATCACTTTATATCCAGCTCCTAGTGTGATGCCTCACTGAGAGCAAATATTGAATGAATGTTCAATAAATGATTAAGCAATTACCTAGTGAATCTTGCCGACCTTATTACCATTCTCATTGCCTACCGTTCTATGAACACTCCCAGAAAGGGCTTTTGTTTATACTATTGTTCCTTAACTCCTCTCCAATTATCCAAAATAAATCCAGCCTTCAAGAGTCAGTTCCACTCAACCTTCTTTGTGAAGCCACCCCTGACCATTTTGGCTTATGCTTTCCTTTCTTAGATTTTTTTTCTCTTTTCTTTTCTTCTTTCTTTCCTATTAAAATTTTTCTTTTAATACGCCATGAGATATCTTGATTGTATATTTTCCAAAGTACTTTTCCAGTTGCATCTTCCAATTCTTCTAAAAGACTTCACCAGTTTTTCCAATGCAATGAAAGATTCTGTATTATACTTCTGTCCTCCTTCTCTTTTTGAAAGTAATATCATCCTAATGACATCAATGGTCATACATTCTCACCTAATATGGAAACATATTTACAAACATCAGAAACCCAGTTCTGAAATCTTTGCATTAATTCTGAACTGAATTAGCATTTTCTGGCTTTAAAGAAAGGCAGCAGTTTGAACTTGTGACTTGTTGATAAACACATTTCTGCTGAGGGAAGGGGAAGGAGAGTGAATGCTGCATTTCTCCATTGGCCCCAAAATGCTCACTCTCACAAAGGGGTACTTCCAAAGTAAACATGCAATGGTGATTTTAAAACTTTTCCTGCAACACAATAATGAAGTAAACAGTAATTAGACACCTACCAATTTTTCCCCCAAAGCAAACCAAGAAACAAACAAACCAAAAAACGTAAACAGGAAGATAACTCTGCCTATTCTTGCAGTTCCTCCAATCATGTTAGAAGGGTGTCATATTCAATGATCAAAAAATTTTTTTAAAAAAAATTTTTAAAGATTTTATTTATTTGACAGAATGAGAGAGAGCGCATAAGCAGGGGAAGTGGGAGAGGGAGAAGCAGGCTCCCTGCCGAGCAGGGAGCCCAATGCGGGGCTCGATCCCAGGACCCCGGGATCATGACCTGAGCTGAAAGCAGATGCTTAACCGACTGAGCCACCCAGGTGCCCCAATGATCAAAAAATTTTCAAATCGCAGTATTTTCATTTTAGAATATTCCCCTTTTCTCCTCCTTCCCCGTCCCCAGGTATTTAACTTGAGAGAATGGGCTTTCTTACACATTAATTTTATACATATATGAAGCAGCGACAATAAGTCAATAATTTGGCATTTCTGTTTATAGTTGCTCCAACTGTTTTTTCAATTTCACAAAGCCATTATCCAGTACTGCTCCAAAATAGAGACTGTAGATTACAGGGAGCAAAGATTCTCTTTTCAGATTTATTTATTTGAGAGAGAGAGAGAGAGAGCGCATGCACGTGAGCAGGGGGAGCTGCAGGGAGAGAGGACCTCAAGCACACTCCCTGCTGAGCGCAGAGCCAGATGCCGGGCTTGATCTCCCAACCCATGAGATCATGATCTCAGCTGAGACCCAAGAGTCCCACGCTTACTGAGCCACCCATGCACTCTACATAACATTCTGAAATCAATGTTAAGTCAAAGAAATGTGAAGCAGGGCATTACACTAAATTTTTGGATTCAATACACTAAAAAAAAAAAGTGAAGCCTAGGAAAAGTTACCTCGTGTTTTATAGAAGAAACAGAGACCTGCAAAATCTGACTTTGGGTTGTATAGTATTTTACACACTGTGCGGACTGTGGCATCTGCTAAATGCAGCAGACATGTAGGCATTTATACCTGCCCTGTATCCCCACCCCCAACCATCTCCTGCCTGATACCAAGTATCGTGCCTATGAGCCCAAGTCATCTGAGACAATCCAGTGAATGCAGTGTGATGATCTGCTGTGACATACGAGGAAAAAAGTCCCTTTCCATCTTCATCAAAGTTTTGCTATAGAAGAAAATTGACAGCCAAGTTCTCATTCTTCTCACAAGCAAACTATGCTCGTATCACAAGTCCTTCAGGAAACCCTAGCGCCTTTCATCCTTCTATGGCTTCTCAGTCCCGAGACGTTCCTTGAGTGTAGCTCGCAGGCGCACTTCCGGCTTGTGCAGCTCCGCCCCCGCGCCTCCACGCCCTCCTCCTTGACCACCTGCTTCTTGAACTGGTTCATTTAACACCGGAATCAAATGATCCTGGGGTTGGCTAATTTGCTGCAGGAGTTGAGAATGTTCTTGACCTCTGACAGCAATGCCAGAAGCAGGGAAGGATTCTGTTAGTCCTTTGTCTCATCTGTTGAAACTGAGGCTGATCCGTAAGAATTCAAGGGGCTTCTCCAGAACGTGTAGGGTTGCAGCTGCAGCCACTGAAGACTGAGGAGCCCCCGTCCTAGCTGCTGGGGGAGGGGATCAACCACAGCCCGACTTTCTCTATCTCTGGGGTTCCCATAGAAAGATGCCCCACTGCTCTGTCAGGGTAGTTGAAACCAGCTCTTAGGGCTGTGGTCATTTGCTGGCCTTCATAGCCCATTGACATGATCTCAGTTACCACGTTCTCACAAGACTGCCCTGTGACATGTGCACCTGTTGCATCTTCAAAAGTGTTTGGCCAAGAAGACTCTCCTGATGCACCATTCATTTCTGCTGGCTTTTCTGCAGGGTTTTCTTGTTTTCATTGCCCTGGCAGGTGCAGGTGTGGGAGTGGGGCCCCGAGCCACAGCCCACCTCATGGAGGAGCTAATGGTGGTGCCCTGGCGGGATGTGATCTGTGCTGGTGCTGTGACGGCTTTAGGTTTTGCCACCGTAACCATCACAAGGTTTCTTCATCACTTTTATACTCTTTTAGAGCAGTATCATCATTGAGGACTTTGCTGGAATAAATTAATTTTTGACCTGCTACAGGAAAGACATCTTTCCCCCTTTCCAGATTCAACCTTCTCTTTCAGTGCTTTCATCGCCCCCTGGGGTCAATGTCAGTCCTGTTGCTGGAGGGTCTGCGGGGTAACCTACTTGGTGCCACCAGGCAGCGGGTCAGCTGGCCATGGGGGCAGGACCCTTTCTTAGATTTTTAAAAACAACTATCATTACCACCATTCATGACTCTGTTGGGTAGTTACTTTGTTAGGTGTTTTGCCATTTCTATCTAATCTCTGTCCTTGGGGCTGAGGCTATGTCTTATTATTTTTTTTTTTAAGATTTTATCTATTTACTTGACAAAGAGAGAGAGTTAGTGAGAGCAGGAACACAAGTGGGGGAGTGGGAGAGGGAGAAGCAGGCTTCCCGCCGAGCAGGGAGCCCGATGCGGGGCTCGATCCCAG